CGTTACAATATTTACCCACTTGTTAGCGTAGTAAAATTATTGTTTTATACGTACAAAATGGAGGGGGAGGAAGCGGTAACGACCGTGACGATACGTGCTCAGGTGCGTGCACGTGTGTGTGTGTGTGTGCGTGTGCGTGTGTGTGTGCGCGTGTGCGTGATAATTGCGGTGAAAGTGAATTAAAAAACGGCGCGATCGGTAACGTCCAAGAGCTGGTAACGGTTTTAAAAGCTCCTTTATCCGTTCGGATGTCCGGGCACATTAGTGACGGGTTTTTTTTTTTCTTGGTATTCTTTACCGCGATCCGTCGTCGTTTTATACATACGTAAACCGCCGCGATTGTCGAACGAAAAAAAACATCGCGTTTCCCGTCGTGAAAATCGCATACGCGAGCATTGTGGAAGGTTTTCTTGAATAAGAACACGGAACGTGATTATAATTCCCGACACGCCTATACCCGTCCGCCCGATTCCCACCTATAATATAGTGGCGTAATTTACGGTTATTTTTTTTCTCCGGCGGGGCGTCAAGTGGTGACGGGTCCTGCGAACCGGCCGCGTTGTATTTTACGTGCATATACTCGCTATCGTCGATCGGTATACCCCGTCGGATCCGTATCAGCGGCGTATCCACAGGGGGGGGGAGGTGGAGAGACGAAACACCCCTTCGAGTAACAAATTGAAAAAAAAAAACGAATAACGCGTAATAACTCGGCGGGTCCCGGACGTATGAATGTCTCGTTCCGTTCGCTTCGAACCCGCGTGTATTTTTTTTTTATTTTTTTCCCCAAACAAAGTTCGCGACGTCTTCCGGCGGCTGTTACATAACGACAATACAGTACGCGTACGTTCGGTTTATCGGGTATTGTCGTTTTTTACCGGACTGTTTTCGCGTAAATAAACGTGTTTGCGCACACGCAACACGCACGCGGACGATGGTACCGTTCGACGCGCACGCAGACAGCGCGCGCGCGAACGTTTAAAAACGTTTCGTTCGTTCGGACGGCGTAGAAAAAAAAAAAAAAAAACGCAAAACGAAATCACGATTGTCGCGCGCGGGTAAACGGCGGCAAAAAAGGGCCGCGAGCGCGTATCGCGGCGATGCGCGCGAGACTGTCGGAAAACCGAAATTGACACGGCCGCCGGTCGGAACGCACGCGGGAATTATCATCGACGGTGACGGGTCTAACGGTTGAAAAATAAACTACACGCGCGCGGCGGTACAACGGTCGCCGTTGAAAACACCGCCGGGCCGCGCGTTATCGGTGCGAAATACACAAAGGCGCGTAGTGCGTAAAAAGGTCAAAACAATAGTGTCGCCGAAATTCCTGTGCGCACCTACGCAATCGTTTTGCGAGAATAACACCGCGAGACGCGTGTTCGTGTGAATGCGGATAACATCCCGTGTCTCCCGTGGCGGCGATCGGCCGGAGCCCCCAGCGGGCGTCCTCGGGGGGAGGGAGGGGAAGTGGTCGTGTACCCTCCACCCCCACCATCGTTCGTCGGCTCGAAAATACAAACGGCCGCGATCTAATACCGAAATTTCGGCCGAGTTACGGTGAAGAGCCCGGCGTATCGTTCGAACGAATTGATTTTTTTTTTTTTTTTCAAAGGACCCGACTTTCAAACCGCCGATCCCCGTCCGCACGGTCGGGTCGGGTAGAGAAGACGGTTTTACACGATTCTATTATTCGCGACGTCCCGTGCCGCCGTCTGTGAAAACGGGCGCTTACGACCCGAAAATACCGCCTTTCGCCCTTCTCCCCCCTCCCCGCCGTCCAATGATAATAAATATTGCGTTGGAAACAAAACCGATAAGCGAAACGAAATTCGGGCGAGACGATTAAATCGCGACGGACAATCGAAATGACGGACTTTCGGAGTTTTCGTCGTAAATCCGAGATTCGTGATGCTGCGGGTGCGTTTGAAAAAACCGTTTGCACCTGTCCTACAGTACGAACGTATCGGTTTTCCGGTATCGGGCCCCTGTACCGCTGCCCTTAAAATTAGGAGAAAAAAAGAAACCACGCAACCCGACGAGATATTAATTGGTTTTCGTACGTTTTACCGGATTGGGGGAAAAAAAAAAAAACATAGTAATAATAATAAATTATAATGATACACAGTGTAACGTTTTTTGTACACCGTTAACCGTAAGCGTTTTTTCTTTCTTGTTCGCTATCGGCGGCGAGCCGGCTTAATTAACGCGCGTTACAATTTCATTTCGTGTTTTTTTTTTTTTTTTTAATATTTAACTCGCGCGTTTTAATTACAAACCAGCCCTCCCCCGCCTGCCCCGGTAGACGTTTTTTTTAATCACCGGTCAGCAACACGCGCACCACCCCCCTCCTCTCCCCTGTAGACCGCCATCCCCTTCGCAAGCGTACGTGCATAACGTCATTTATAATAAACGACCGACAATCGGAATAAATCGAGAAAAAAAAAATTAACCGTTCAAACCGTTAATGCGTAATTTCGAATTATTAATTTTTTTTGTTGTAACTTCGAATTGTTTACTTCCCGCTCGTCCTAACCTGATCGTACGCGCCCAACCGATTCCGAAACATAGAGCGTCCCGTAAAGTATACGTTTTTTAACGAAGAAAAGGAAATAAAAAACAAATAACGAACGAATCGGTGGAATTCCAACGAAAATGCCGATTCGATTTTTGCCGTATGCGCAGTATTCGGCAACGACTCCGCGATTCAATGCTCGTAAACGATATTCGGCCCATAACCTACTCCGTCCCTCCCCGGTAATTTGGAGCGCGTTAACGCGCTAAACGAAGTCCCCCACGACCCCGCAGTCTTCAGTTCTCGATACGCGTTTTTGGGGGTTCGAATAGCGAAAATGAAAAATCGATCACAAAATTATGAAGACAAAACAGCGAAAACCATTCAGTTGAAAAAACAAATGGCGAAATAAAAAATAATGGAAAATAATATGTACAAATTACAATTGAAATAAAACGATAAAAATTATTATTTTTGTCGTAAGCATTTAATAATTCCCCGTACACTATTTTCCCCTCCACCCTTACCCGCTCATATTATTCGTTCCAGATCGAGACCACTTTCGAATTCGATTTCTTCCGAATTCGGAGTTGTCTTTGGAGGCGGCATTCAATAAATGTCCGCTACATGTGTTACACTGCCCGCGATCCCGTCCGTAATCTCGAATCACGGATGCTAAAATATTTCACCGAGGAAAAAAAATTTGTTAAAAATGTTTCGCCACGTAATATTGCGTGACATTAAACCTCCGGCGCGTGTAAAATACTAAGGGGACGAAAATAAAAAAAGAAATCACGAAACGTTTGCACGAAACTTGATGACGGATTTTTCGTTCTGCGCGTTTTCGCTCTTCCGCTCTCGCGCGTTTGCGTCCGCCCTTTCGCTCTCGCTCCGTCGCTCGCGGGATACCTTTTCGGGGCTCGGACCGTTTGCGCATTTTCTCGCCGGATATTATTGCGAACCATCGCCGCGCTTACCTGTCGTACGTGGACACGCGGACAACCGCTGCGCCCGGACCTCGGGACGGACGGCCGCGATTGCGGTTCGGAACGTCGCGCGGGTTAGACACTGTTGACATTCCGAATCGAGAAATTTCCGATTTGGTTTTCAGTTTTCCTCTGTCGAGGTTTCGCGGCTTACGAGTTTTCCGATCTCCGGGACGTATACGAACGCGTCGGCGTTTCGCCGAAGTATTCGCGTGTGTCTCTCCCCCTCCCCCCCCACCAGACTCGAAAGGGCACTGTATTGTTTTTTCTAAATCATTTGATTTTCAGATGAAAACGCGCGCGTATTATTTTTCGAGTGCGTACGAACGGTCCGGGACCTCCTCGCAGTTGTTATGGTGAATGTAAAACGAAAAAATAACGGATTCTTTCGAATATCGCGTTTTTTCGTGTTTTTATTTCGCGGTACAAAACTGAAAAAAAACCACGCGCACTATCGCCGCCCGAAGAATTGAACGGGATGGGGGGAGGGCGGAAGGGTTGTTTCGTTTTTTGTGTGCTATACGCGTGAAAAGAAAAAAAAAACCACAAAAAAAAAAAATAAAAACTGATAAACCGATTATCCAGTAAAACGAATTTCGATATGCTCGCACCAGCGGCGGCGGCGGCGGCGGCGGCTCTCCGGGCCCTACGCACATAACTAAATGATACTGTCGTCACGAGATTTAATCTCCACACGACAGGAACGGAGGAAAATGAACAAATTATGCGCACATGTACGCGTGTGAAAAAAAAAAACCGTACGGAACTTGGATTTACAACTTTATTATTATTATTATTTTTTTTATTATTATTATTATCGTATATGTAAATCAGCTATGACGAAGGAGAAAAGAAGAAAAAAAAAAAAAAATGAAAAATAAAACGCCTACTCCGGTCCCGGTCTGTGTACGCGGCCGGCGCGCGAGCCACGGCACAGAACATAATAACTGTCGCCGAATTTTATTTATTCATCCGAGCAAGGCGTCGGGAACGGCGGAAAAAAAAAAAATTAAATAATAAATATACGAGGTTTTTTTTTTTTCCACGCGCGAGCGGAGGATTTCGAATTAAAAAAAAAAAAAAAAAAACGCGACAATACATCACGTTCAAAACAATAATGATAATATTCATAATGATAATATTAATAATAATATTAATAATAATAATAATGATAATAAACCGTTAACGCGGTTAACGTGACGCGCGCGGGTACGGACCGCGTTATCGGAAAGCGCGACTTTGCCGCTCAACCCGACCCCCGGGGCGATTTTGCCGATTGTTTCCGCCGTTCGTTACGGCCGACCGAGATAATAATCGGCGAAACGCGAAAAACCGCGACGACAGCGCCGCGGTTTACCGCGTCGCACGCGTTCGGAATATTACGGGAGCCGGGCGTTCGCGCGCGTCAACAGCGCTCGGATTCCGTAACGTGTTGCGAGCGGACGCGTTCGGACTATCGTTTTTTTCCTTTTTTTTTTTTTTTTTTTTTTTTTTTTTTTATTCCGCGGCCCCCGCGATAAAACCGATTCGATCGCCGAACAGCCGCAGTCCACGCGATCGATCGATCGCTACTGTGCGTGCCGCTATTTTATTATAAACAACAACAACAACGAAAACAATATAAATAAGTGCCCGATCGTAATAAAACGAACGTTATATACTCACGTAAGCGGTCGAACGCGACTCATGCAGCGGGTGAGAATTCAGGTGCGTAGCGGCGGCGTCGTCGTCGTCGGCCACACACCATGTCTGCACGGGTAGACCCGCCGACGACCGTTGGCCGGTTTTTCCGTTTGACCGCGAGCGCGGCGACGGGGCTGTTGGCGACGGCGGCTGCGGCTGCGGCTGCCGCGGCGGTCCTCGCGCGTGTGTTTACCGCTCTGTCGCGTGCCGCGTGTTCCCGGACGGCGCGCGAAACTCCGCGTGCCCCGGGCGCTTACGGCTTACCGCTCACGCGCGGCGGCCGAATATCAACGTACAGTTTTGGTCGCGATGGTCCACGAACAACGGGCCGTGTACTGCGCGACAGTGTTTTGCACGGACGTGTAGACTGTGACGCGGCGGAAATATTACGGGAACAGCGCGGGATCGAGAACGAAGACGTGAAAAAAAAATTAAATAAAATAATAATCGCGCGATTCGCGGGGAAGACACCCGCGGATATTACCGATACGAGTCGAACCGCGGACGGCGTTCACGGCCGGTCCGTCCGGTACCGCGGTGCTGTCTTCGTCGGAGTCGGCGACCGGTGCGTGTAGAGCGCCGTCGACGGTACGCCGCCGGTCATCGCGAACCGTGCGGCGCGTACTGGCGCGTCGTCGGGACGGCGCGTTCCCGCGGACGGCCGATAAACGGGGTTTTTTTTTGTTTTTTTTTTTTTGCCTGGGAAAATTCGGGCGGAAAAAAAATTAACTAGCGAAAACGGACGGTTTTCGAAAAAAAAAAAAAAAAAAAAAAAAAAAAAAAAC